AATTGTCGCATCGGCTAAACATTTCCCCTTTTCTTTTAGTTTCGGTCGGGAAGGCTAGCCAGTAATGCCATGCTAGCAAGAACAGCCCACCGCAGAAGACGGAAATGCGAATCCTGGTTTTTTAAAATCTAAAAATTTTTTTGGTTTTTCTCAGCAGAAATTTGAAGAAATTTGGTTTTGGTATAGGTTTCTTGCATTTTCCGTCGATCAGAAATAAAAGAGGACACTGCCCAATCTCGCTTTATTTCATGTTAATTTCTGTAAAGCACCCTTACATTAGGGACCTGCCGTCCACTGGTTAACGTGCTATTCAAAGGAACTAAGGAGTTCCTCTTAGTGATGTTCATCTTGTGCCCTGGTTGGGGTTAGGCTGTCCCAAAATTATTTGAATCCTTTAATTAAATTTAGTTAATTTATGTTAAAATATAAAACAACATATTAATTATTATTCAGCTGCACTGGTTGTTCCTATATTTTTATGCAAACGGTTTACCCAATGTTAACTGTACAGGACAACTACGTACATGTAAAAATCAGTGTCTAAGACCCTGATGGTGCGAAGCACAGTTGACATAGGTGGAGCTATGTGCATAATAGAGGCCGGAATAAAGCGAAAGGAGGTTGTTAAAGCTGTATCTATAGGAACGGTCAAGTATTGGTGGTTTGAGTACAGGCGGACAGGTACCCAAACAAAGAACAACTCTGCAAGCACAAAAAGTTTCAGCAGAATTGAAAAGACGGTTATTGCAAAGTACATTGGTCCTATTTTAAAGTATACGTGGCTGTTGTCGTCAATGCGTCTCTGGCAGAAACTGCAGTTTAAAAAGAGGGAAAATAGATTTTAAAAGAAAAGAGCTCGTAGCTCAATGTTTAAAGCGTTGAACTTCTGATCAAAGGGTCGCGGATTCGAGCCCTGGGGTGCTACACCGTCTGCGGTTGGGTATGACTGACTGATGATGACTAGTTATCCCGAAACGGCCATTTCAGCCCCCTCCCTTTTTCGCTGACAGTGGTAATCTGCCTGAATTACGAACCGCTGTACAGCCGCTGACGAGGCTCGTGAGTGGGGCTCATGGCAAGTCGGGACGCGTGAGTTTTTTTAGCGATCGCCGAACATTCATCAAAAAATATCAATAATAAACTGTTGGTATGCCTCTTTCCACCACCCCCTCTCCAACGCCATTTTCATACAGCGTATTAACGAAAGAATGTGAAGTTTTCCGTCTCCTGCAAAGAATGATATTAATGAGGGATAGCCACATAAAGAGCGACCCGCCTCAAAATTGCAGAACGGTCGTCAGGGTGTTCAAACCGTCCGTCGTGTAGGCGAGGGAAAAGGTGAGACAGAGGTTTTGGAGGAGGCATAGCTTTGCTGGAAGTTCTCATAATAAATACCTACATTTGACGGTAATTTCACTCTCATTCACATGTCATAGCACCTGGCGCAATCTGCCGATTCTGGTCTTTGGATGGGAACTGTACGAAGGATTTAAGTTCCCCAGATGTGGGTGCGAATTTTGTAGACTGTCCCAACATTATTTGCACCTTAAGAGAGCTAGATGATTTCTTTAAAATAAAATATGCAGCGATACTATTTATGTTGTCTTCATCCACATTGGTTGGTGAATTAGTCTTAAACAAACTTTATACGCAATGTGTACAGTACAGTACAGCGGTACAGATAAGAGAAAACGGTAAACCTATAAAAAGCCGTGTTTAGGATCCTGATGGCGAGAAGCTTAGAGGACAGAGGTCAACCTATGTGTGTGATAGAGCCCGGGATGAAATGAGTGTAGGCGTACCTATTGGAACGGTCACACATTGGTGGGTACAGTAAAAAACGCACAGGAACCCTCACAAATCAGAAGAACTCTGGAAGACCACTACCTTTAGGGGAAACTGGAGCGATGGTTATTTGAATAATTAATGACTGTTATCCGTTGCGGCAGCGATTTCGTCGTGTGAAACGTTCGGCTTGCGAAACTTAGTCAATCACACTGCATCAGTTCACTGATTGGCTGCAGGCGCTCGAGGACCCACTTCCTGGGAGCAAGACCCAATGGTGACCCCAGGCGCTAGTTAGCTGGACGGAAGCTTGTCAATCGAAATAAATTGTCTGCTAGTGGCTCGATCGTTACCTGGAATGCTTGTAGATGGAAATGCTCCTCAACTTAGTCTCCAATCTATAACCAGTCAACAACGGCTCACTGAGAAGAAGAGGACTCGACCGCTAGGACAATACTATTAATCACCTGACGTTTCGACATCCGTCGCGGATTTATCATCAGAGACATTAGCAGAAAACAGAAGCAGAAACAGGTAATAGATGCACAGGGGTTTGCAGTATTTATAGGACGAGGACATTACTGCGAACGTGCAACGACAATTAGCATTAATTGCCTTCTTGTGCGTCGATAGTTTTTTGGTCGGCATGCGGCCTCCGACCCGTTGAACTTTCATCACGCGTGGTGGACTGGGGCGTGAAGATTGCTGGACAAGGTGGCCCTGTGGCGTTTGCGTAGGATGACGTGATGGCCTGTCTGTTCCCCAAGTTGCTATTTGTTTCGGCCAAATTGAA